AAACATTTGGAATTATAATAATATGAATTAATAAACCACAGTTTCATTTTGCGAAAATGTGTTTGTCACAGAATTAATTGTTAATTTATTTTACAGTGCAGGCCCGAAAGGTGATAACTTATATGAGTGGGTTTCTACCATATTGGGTCCTCCAGGTTCTGTTTACGAGGGTGGTGTGTTCTTTCTCGATATACATTTTTCGCCAGAATATCCCTTCAAACCTCCTAAGGTAGATCAATTATTTTCTATTCACAATATTTATTTATATAGAATCATATGACAAAATGAAGAAAATAAATAAAAATGCTATTTGAGATATCTTTTAAATAAAACATATACTTATATAAAATTTTAAATGAATATTAATATTTATTATAGCAATAAATATTATTATAATTATAAAACAGAAAATGGATATCCCATTTATAGTCTTGTATACATATATATAAAGACCTATACTAAATCTTATTTCTAAATCTACAATAAGCTTTAAATTATTTCATTCATTTTAAGATGAACAATATGTATGATACATATCTGATGAACAATATATACGCCAATATACACAATTATATTTCAAATAAAAATGTGTCACTTTACAGGTTACATTCCGAACACGCATCTATCATTGCAATATAAACAGTCAAGGAGTTATCTGCTTGGACATATTAAAAGATAATTGGTCGCCAGCATTGACAATTTCAAAGGTCTTGCTGTCAATATGTTCCCTTTTAACAGACTGCAATCCAGGTAGGCGCAATTATCATTTATAATAATTTATTTAAATTGAATGTACGATGTGTATATTGCTAATGAATGTATTTATAGTCTCTTTTTGATCTAAAGATAACACTTTGTAAATATCGTTACACATTTTTTTTTACATATGTGAATCTCACTTAATTTTATCTTATCTTATAGCTGATCCATTGGTAGGTAGTATAGCCACACAATACCTACAAAATAGAGAAGAACACGATCGCATAGCACGGCTGTGGACCAAGCGCTATGCCACATGAGCATATTTTTAATTCATATTAAACTCCTATTAGTCTCATGCCAACTTATGATCATTGCTGCTCTCATACAACTTGTCTCATATGTAGCGTGTACACATCTTTATCTATGATCATGTTGGTCAGAAAAATACAAGTGAGCGAAGACCGTTTGAGATCAGCTCAAACATGATTGTGATGTGCTTTTATGTAGAGTATGTAATGTGCCTAAGACGGATGAATGTGCGTGCAAGTGTTTAAACGGTGTGCTAGGGCATAACGAGACAGGAGTTTTTCACTTAAAAGTTACAATGAGATAGTATTTAAATGGATTGTATTGTTCATAGGCAATACCATCCACAATGCTGCTAATGTTTTTAGAATAGGAGATAACATGAACAATATTGATAATCTAAATTGTAAGTAATTAATAGATATATAGGCGATAAGACCTAAAAATATAGAGGCCCATTTTTCCATAATTAAACTCCCATATTTTTATATTAAATTGTCTTAAATTTAAATTATTATGTTCATACATGCGATGTCTGACTCAAGATACAGGCCAACAGCATGTAACTATAATTTTGCGCTGCAAAATTACTACATACAATTTTGTGTTCATAATACAGTTATTGTAACGTTCTGCATGAAGCAGACATCATGCTTGCGCTATCAGACACAATTCAATTGTCTGGACCCATCCGTAAAAATATATTGTAACTGTAAATAAATATTATTTACTGTATACTTATACACTGGTACATTCAAGAAACTCGTGTAACTTTGACCTGGATTTATATTCTATCTCATATGTAAATCTCATGTGTAAATTGAAATTTTACTAGCGATTGTATCAACAATCTCGGTTCATTTCTGGTTAGCAATTTCTTATCTCTTTCTATTGAGCATATATAGCTTTAGTTTTTATACATAGAAAGAGAAAATTCAACGACTGGCGCTAACTAATGTTGGTGTAATTCATCGCATCTTTAGACTTTTTATATTATTTTATTGTATCTTAGGAGATACACATATCAATTTTATTGCATACT